GGGAGAGAGAAAGACAGAGACTGAGAGAGAGGGAGAGAGGGAGAGAGGAGAGAGAGAGAAGAGAAAAAAGGAGAGAGAGGAGAGAGAAAAAAGAGAGAGAAAGAGAGAGAAAAGAGAGGAGAGAGGAGAGAGAAGGAAAGAGAGAGGAGAAAAAAGGAGAGAGAAAAGAGAGAGAGAGAGAGAGAGATAGCAGACATTTAAGGGCACAAGGTGCAGTTTGGATGATGATCCAGCAAAGGAGGCTGAGAAGGAGCAGTCATATTGGTAGGAGAACTATGAAAGAATAGATTCCAGAGAACCTAAAGAGAAAACTTCCCTCCATCATCACCATCCTCTCCTCCAGCCTCTTATGAGATGGTCCTAGGCAAGGTACATCCCTCTATTTTTGTCCTTTGATACTATATTGAACCTTTCCTCTCCAGTTTCTTCTAAGAGCATCCTCAATAACGTTCTCCTGTCCTCCTCTCTCCTCTCCCTCTCCTCCCCTCTCCTCTCCTCTCTTCTTTGTTCTCCTCTCCTCCCCTTCCTTCTTCTCCTTTCCTATCCCCTCCTCTCCTCTCCTCCCTTCTCCTCTCCCTCTCCTGCTCTCTCCTCTCCCTCTTCTCTCTTCTCCTCTCTTCTTCTTTGCTTTCCTCTCCTCCCCCTCCCCTCCCTTCTCCTCCCCTCTCCTCTCCTCCTCTCCTCTTCTCCTCTCTCCTCTCTTCTTCTTTGCTCTCCTCTCCCCCCCTTCCCTCTCCTCCCTTCTCCTCCCCTCGCCTCTTCTCTCCTCTCCTCTCCTGTCCTCTCTCTTTTCTCTTTTCTTCTCTCTACTCCCCAGCTCTAATATTCCTATTTAGCATTTCCTTCAATTATGAATGTCAGCAACAACAATAAGAAAACAGTCCCATAGACACGAAGAAGCCCCCAAGAGCTGGAGTCGGGACTAGAGCCAGGCCTGTTGATAGCGGGACCTCTTCTCCCTCTGGGTTCCCTCTTCCGGCCTCTGGTGGCTTTTCTTCACCCAGGGGATGAAGTCCCAGGTCTTCAGTCTGGCTTTCAAAGCCTTCCAGCTAAGCACCCCATGGGCCTCAGGTTTCTATTGACTGCAGGGCCCTTAGGCTTTTCTCAGTGTTGTCCCAGCATGACCAGGTGGGGAGAGAACAGAGCTGATCTTGGAGGATGGACTTTCCCTCATGGAAGGGACCTTTGAGACCCTCTGGACCAGGGCTTCCTAAACCTTTTCATGCCATGTGCACCCTTTTGGGGGCCTAGTGAAGGTTATGAACCCCTTTTCAGAAGAGTGTTTGGGGCCTCCTTTCATAACTGAAGTGCTCAATTTCAGTTGGAGGCTAAAGTAAATAAAGATGTAATTATTTCTCATCCAAATTCTTGGACCCTTCAGGGGTCCAGGGACAGAGTAAGAACTGGAATGACTCTATCATGTTAACAAGAGAAAACTGAGGAGTTCTAGACTTAGGTCATACAACTAAGGAGCTATTGCCCAACCAGTCAAGGACCAGGGACATCTAAGTGGTACCATGGATAGAGCTCTGGGCCTGGAGTCCTGAAGACCAGAGTTCAAAGCCCACCCTGGATACTTACTAGCTGTGTGACCCTGGGCAAGTCACTTCACCCTGTTTGTCTCAGTTTCCGCATTTGTAAAATGGGGGTGCTATAATAGCACCTCCCTCCAGGGTGAGGATCAAATGAGATAATATTTGTAAAGCTCTCGTTTACTCGTCTGAATTGTGTCCGACTCTCTGTGACCCCATTTGGGGTTTACTTGGCTGAGATACTGGAGTGTTTGCCATTTCCTTCTCCAGCTCATTTTACAGATGAGGAAACTGAGAAAGAGTTAAATGACTTGCCCAGGGTCACACAGCCACCAAGTGTCTAAGGTCAGATTTGAATTCAGGAATGACTAACTCTAGGCCCGGTGCTGTAAGCGCTACGGCGCCTGTGAAGCTCTCAGCAAAGTGATCCTCTAAACTCTTATTCTTCCCGTCATGTCCTAGGGTTTCTCCCAACTCTAACGTTCCATTTTCTAATGGTCCACGTAGGCTCTGTCCCCACTCTCTCAGGGACATACAGCCATGCAGCCGGAGTCACACCAGCGAGAGTTAAAGTGAAGGACTTTGAAGAATCTCTCTTCCTGGGGACGTCAGGCATTTCTTCTGCCCTGCTAAAGATTCATCGGTTTTGAGAATCTGGCACTATCTTCTTTATAGATGTGGAAACAGGTAGAGGAATAGATGGGATTTGGAGGGGGCTGCTTACCGGGACAGCTAGGCTGGGATGTGGATAAGCCTCAGCACCGCTCCAGCTTGGGGCTTTCCACAGAGCCCCACCTTGGCTCCCCTGGGCCTTCCATGGAGGGGAGTCTGAGAGAGATCCTGGCTACCGAAGAAGGGGATGGAGCTCTCAAGTAGCTAGGATTTAGAGCAGAAAAGGGCTGAAGAACAGACTGTCAGAGCTGGGAGGGCCCTTAGAACACAGAATGTCAGAGCTGGGAGGGCCCTTAGAACACAGAATGTCAGAGCTGGGAGGGACCTTAGAACACACAGTGTCAGACCTGGGAGGGCCCTTAGAACACAGAAGGTCAGAGCTGGGAGGGCCCTTAGAACACAGGAGGTCAGAGCTGGGAGGGCCCTTAGAACACAGAAGGTCAGAGCTGGGAGGGCCCTTAGAACACAGGATGTCAGAGCTGGGAGGGCCCTTAGAACACAGAATGCCAGAGCTGAGAGGGACCTTAGAACATAGGAGGTCAGAGCTGGGAGGGCCCTTAGAACACAGGAGGTCAGAGCTGGGAGGGCCCTTAGAACACAGAAGGTCAGAGCTGGGAGGGCCCTTAGAACACAGGAGGTCAGAGCTGGGAGGGCCCTGAGATCCTACCCCATAATAAAAGGATTTCTTCTGTAAAACTTGGACTCAGTCAAAAAGCTGCACCCAAGGACCTAGAAGGCCACATGTGGCCTCAAGGCTGCAGGTTCCCTACCCCTGCTTTAGGACATTGGATGTCAGAGATGAAGGGCCCTTAGAACACAGATAGTCTAAGGGACTTCACTCATTAATCCCTTCCAGGCCTTCCAGAAGAAAAAGCTCAGGGTAAGAGAAAGGAAAGACTTCCGCAAGAACCCATGACCAGAGCCAGAACCCAAGCTCTGGGACCCCAGAATGGTGCTTCTGCTCCCCCTTGGCACACCACAGAAAATAAAGAACTTTGGATGGCACGGCCACAGTTACAAAGTCCTCACAACTTTATTACGGTTTTCCCAGCGTGTGCTCGCCTGGCCATGGACTTTTAGACCTCAATCCATTTTTGACTCTGGTGCTGCTTGGTGGGTGACAGTCTCCATATCTCCAGCTAGACAGCGCATGGCAGGGCAGCCAGAACAGGCCTGGCTGAGGGGGGTGAGGGGCAGGGGCAGACAAGCGGGGCTGTAGCACCAGGAGACAGATGAGCACAGTGAGCAGCCCTCTGTTGCTGGCTTACAAATACTGAACAAATAAGGGGACGTTATGGCAGGGGAGCCCACTCAGGGCGTCATGTTCCACCATTTAAAGGGAAAAGGCTTTCTGCGGACGTTGGTGCCACAGTGCACCTCTCCTGAGCGGAGGTGATAGGAAAAATAGTCATCAATGAAAATGCATTTCAGGCCCAGAGGCTCCAGCAGGGCCTGCACCTTCTCCTCGAGGCAGCACTGTCCATTGATGATGGGTCCGAAGGGCTTGGGGATCCCCAGGTACTTCCCCAGCACAAGCATGTTCACCTGGGGCAGCAGGAGAGAAAAATCAACAATGAATCAGTCTTTCATACCCTTAGCCCCGTGTGGTAAAGGGAGAGCTAGATTTGGAGGCCAAGGACCTGGATTCCTGGAATCGTAGATTTGGAGCTGAAAGGGAACTTACAGGCCCTCTAAGGCCAATTCCCCCTTTTTACAGAATTGGAAACTGAGGCCCACAGAGGGGAAGTGACTTCCCATCCTCATATAGGTACTAAGTAGAAGAGGCAGAATTCAAACCCAGGTCTTCTGATGTCAAACCCAGAGCTATTTCTCCTGCCCTTCAGTTCTGAGGCTGATTCCCTGTGTGGGCTTAGGTAGATTTCCCTTCTCCAGGCTTCAGTTTTATGCTCTGTAAAATGGGTGAGTTGGGCTCCCACTCCAAATCCTATAAAGAGTGAGATCCCACCTGCTGTCTCCCCAACACTTGGGCTGTTTTACTCCCAGGTAATCCTGATTGTCAGAGCTGGAAGAGGCCTGAAAGGCTGATACATCTTAGCGACTAATCCAACTCTCTCATTTTACCAGTATGGCAAAAGGCCTACAGAAATTGTTAAGTATCGGAGTCAGGATTTGAACCCAGGACTCTTAGACTCTTTTTCCATGCTCTTTCTTGCAAACTCTCTAAACATCCCATTAAGTCAAGGTGAATCTTGGAGAAGAACGCTAGGTCTCCTGTACTCTCTCCTAGCCTTCCCCACCCTGAGACTTCCCTCATTAAAGAATGAGCCCCACTCCGGTAAGGACAAACTTCCCACCATCTTGGCACCTTAGGAAGCTGACCCCCCAGGACCATGGGCCCCACACCCCTCCACGGTTGACTTCTTACCATGTCTGGGAACAAAGCCTCGGCTTTCAGAGCTTTTGTGGAGACCTGCATCTTGAGGTAGAAGAGCTGCGGGATGTCAATGATGTCCTGCTCGGTCAGGCCCAATTCCTGCTTCAGGATCTCCCGGTTCCAGTCAATGCAGCTCTAGGGAAGGGTGACATGCAGGGAGGTGACTCTCTTCCATGGGAACCCAGCCACATGTCACCAAAGTGACTAATCTCTGGGAAGGGCACCCCGACCCTAAGCTCACTCAGACTGTGGTTAATACAGGCTGAGAACGTCCCAGTCTAGGAAAGCAGAGCAGCCAGTTAGGAGGAGCAGAGGGGCCACAGAATGTCAGAGCTGGGAGGGCCCTTAGAACGTGGAATGTCAGACCTGGGAGGAGCCTTAGAACACAGAATGTCAGAGTTGGGAGGGCCCTTAGAACACAGAATGTCAGAGCTGGGAGGGCCCTTAGAACATGGAATGTCAGAGCTGGGAGGGCCCTTAGAACAGAGAGTGTCAGAGCTGGCAGGGGCCTTAGAACACAGAATGTCAGAGCTGGGAGGGGCCTTAGAACAGAGAATGTCAGAGCTGAGAGGGCCCTTAGAACACAAGATGTCAGAGCTGGGAGGGGCCTTAGAACACAGAATGTCAGAGTTGGGAGGGCCCTTAGAACACAGGATGTCAGAGCTGGGAGGGCCCTTAGAACACAGGATGTCAGAGCGGGGACAGCCCTCAGAACAGAGAGTGTCAGAGCTGGTAGGGGCCTTAGAACACTGAATGTCAGAGCTGGGAGGGGCCTAGAGACACAGAATGTCAGAGCTGGGAGGGGGCCTTAGAACAGAGAGTGTCAGAGCTGGGAAGGCCCTTAGAACACAGAATGTCAGGTCTGGGAGGGCCCTTAGAACAGAGAATGTAGAAGCTGGGAGGGGCCTCAAAGATACTCTGGTCCCACCCCATCATTGTACTGATGAGGTAGCTAAAGCCCACCATATAGATAATAAATCAGCAGAACAATTACTTTAGGCCAGGCTTCTGACTTTCCATTCAGTGCCCTTTCTATAGCAAGAGACCTGAATTCTAGCCTTGGTACCTCCACTCTCCCTCTGTGTGACCTTTGGCAGGTGACTTGCCCTCTCAGGGTATCTGACATCATGTGCCCCTGCCCCATTGTTTCCTTCACACCCTCTGTAGCCCTGGGTGGAGTCTTTTCCTCCTCTGCCTAGGCCATCACCACCAACCTCCTGATGGTTCATGTTCCAATGCTTCTAAATATTCCATTGTTATTTCTTTGATGTGTGTGTGTGTGTGTGTGTGTGTGTGTGTAAGCATGCACAGTTCACTTTCTAACCAACTAACAGGCCACCTTCTCCAGTCTTGGATGTCCTCTGTGAATGACTGTGTCCAAATTAATGAAGAACAGACTCACAGTCCGTTACTAGGTCCATCTTTGAATGTGGAGGTTCTTATAGGGGGTTGGGGGAAGGGTGGTCTATGAACTTGGAACTCATGAAAAGCACTTTCTAAAACTTACCACACTATATACATGTCAGCTATTATAACTTAATATTTTGATGCCCAGGGTCACACAACTAATAAGTGTTTGAGGCAAGATTTGAACTCAGGTCTTCCTAATTCAGATATAGCACTCTAGCCATTGTATCCGCTAGCTGCTGTGATCACAAGAGTGCAGATTTATGACTGGAAGGGTTGTGAGGTTTGCTGTTTTGTTGTTCAGTTGTTTTCAATCTTATCCAACTCTTTGGACTGTATTTCAATATAACCCATTCCCTTTGGGATCCCATGGATTTTATTTTATGCATTTGAAAATGTGATTCTGCAAAGGGATCTCTAGGCTTCACTTGGCACTGCCCAAGGGATCCAGGACACTAAAAAGAAGAACCCCTGGTCTAAGGCTTTTCACTTTAGAAGGGCCTGGCAAAGATGGGCCCCCACTATTCATATACTCTGAGAGTGTAGGGTCAACCCTGCGCCCATAGGAGACATTGACAAAGGGCTTTTGTGGAGCTGATTCTATGATTCAAAACAAATAAGCTTATTGGATGTCAATGAGATTTTGACCCTCAGCTTACTCAACTGAAAAATGAAGGGTTTATACTCAATGGTCCCAGACGTCCGGCTCCAACTCTATGATCTGATGATCTATGATATCATGAAGGATAGTTCTAACTAAGGCCACTGAGTTCTTGAACTTTAGTATGAGGGGACTTTTGAGGTCATTAGGGCCAGTCCCTCATTTTACACTTGAGGAAACTGAGGCTTACAGAGGGGATGCGATTTACTCTAAACTTATGGTAAGTAGCAAAGCTGGAATTCAACCATGACTGATCTTGCTCCAAGAGAAGCCATGTGGCATCATGGTTAGAAAGCAGAACGGGAGTCAGGAAGCCCTACATTTTGATCCCAATTCTGACATGTACTGGCCGTGTGACCGTGAACAAGTCTGAGCCTTGAGCAACTCTCTAAGATGGAAAGTTATCAATTGTAATCTGCATTGGTAGAAAGAGTGCCATGTTGGAAAAAAAAATCAGAGGCTACTGACAGACACTGGATGCAAATCAAGTTTTCTTTTTTATTCCCCGTGTTTGAGCCATAACTAAGGTGAGGTGACTGGAGCTCTGTCCTAGGGTGCCAAATTTAGAGGGTACTAATATCATTTGAATTCAGCTGTATAGATAGCTGTATAATACCTAATTAGCAAGAAAAATGAGTTGGAATAGGAAACAAAGAAGTGGTATATTGAGGTGAGCTTTTTTTCTGTTCTGTCCTGTTCCCTGGACCTCACCTAGCAGTCTCCATTCCTCTTCCTCCCACACGGGGTAGTTTGTTGCCTTGGTGGTTGTGGTATTTGCCGTGGGTACAAATACTCCTAATTGTATCTCTGCCCCAGGCTCTGCTCCTTCCCTAGGGGACTGTCAGGCTGAGTACATAGTAAAGAAAATGCCACTTACATTGATCCAAGCTGATTTGAGAGTTAGTAGGCTCTCCTCTTCTCTCTCTTCCTTGCTAGCCTTCTCTACCTCTAATCTCTCCCATTCCCCAACTAGTTTAATATAAGCTAATGTTGTTATGTGGAGATCTCTGGCTAAAAGAATAGCTTCATTGACAAAATCTCTTGGTGGCCATGGTCATCAATCAAAGGATTCTGGGTAAAGAATGTCAGATTGGAGACCCAGACCTTTTTCTTCCCCACACCTCCTCCCTCAGAAACTGCAGAGATCAAAGAATCATACTTCAAAATGTTATGGATCTTTGATTTTTATAGGTGTGGAAATTCCCTCTACCAATACAGGTTACAATCCATCTATAACTTAGTAGAAAGGATAATGATAATATAACTATTTATATAGTGCTTTAAGATTTATAAAGTGCTTTATAAATATTGTCCTCACAACCCTGGGAGAAAGATGCTATTATTATCACCATTTTACAGGAGATGAAACTGAGGCAGACAGAGGTTAAGCAACATGCCCAGGGTCACACAACTAATAAGTGTTTGAGGCAAGATTTGAACTCAGGTCTTCCTAATTCCAGATATAGCACTCTAGTCATTGTATCCCCTAGCTGCTATGATCACAAGAGTACAGATTTATGACTGGAAGGAATCATAGAGGTAAATCCTCTGAGCAGTGGTTCTGAATCTTTTTGGTCTCAGATCCCCTTTATACTCTCAAAAATTATTGAGGACCCCTTAAAGAGCTTTTGTTTATGAGTGTTATACTTATTGATATTGACCATATTAGACATCATTTTTAAAAGAGAGGAGGGAAGGAGGGAAGGATAGAATTTGGAACTCAAATTATTTAGCATATAATTGGGGAAAAATAAAATAAAATTTTTAAGAAGTCTTAGTATTTTTATAAAAATAGTATCGACCTCATGGACAGCCTAGAAGGGTCTTATGGACTCTCAGGGGTCCCTGGACCACACTTTGAGAACTTTTAGAGAGTTGACTGAGGCTCCCAGAGGTTATTGACTTGCCTACAGTCATGTAGTCAGTCTGAGGGAAGATTCCAATTGAGGTCATGCTGACTCCAAGTCTGCCATGGCTTCCTCTGCATAGACTCATAGAATGTTGGAACAGCAATGGACCTTGGAAGTCACCTAATCCAACCACCCCATTTCATAGGTGAAGAAACTGAGGCCAGAAATGTCATGACCCACTGAAGTCCCATAAAGAGTCAGTTACAGAGATAGGATTTGAATATTGGTTTCAAATCCTGATTTGTTGTTTGTTTTTTTTCTGAAATTCCACACCACCTCTCCCAGGGTCCCAGTTCCCCATACCTCGGCATACTGATTGTGCTCTCTCAAGGTTTTGTCCGATAGAATGTCTTTTATCGTCTTATTTCCTTTTTCTATAATGAAGATAAAAGAGAAAAATGAGAAGGGTTTGCAGCAGGTAAGTGATCAGTTCTTTGCTTCAGGCTGGCCAAGAGAGTCTTGGGCTGCAATTTAGCCCTGTATCCACACATAACCCAGAAAGCCATTTGTAAAGAGAAAAAATAGAGCCTGCTAAATGCCAGGCTTACTTGGAACGGCCAATAACAGAAAAAACATCTAAATGTTATAACACATTCGAGGGTCTCTCTTGGAAGATCTCGAAGGACATTCCTGGAATTCTCTTATAGACATCAGCTACCTGGGGGGTTGGAAGAGATGGTCCCGTGACGAAATAACACCACCTCCTTCCATGATTCTCCCAGTCAGTAATGGACTCACCCCCTGTACTCATCCTAAGAGATCATAGCACTTTTTTGGTACCTCTTTGGACTTATCCTGGATTATTTTATACCATTGTTACAGTTATAATTACAAGTCATTTCCCTGGGGCAAATCAACCAATCAATCAACATGCATTTATTAAGTACCATATGCCAGTATTTATTAAGTACCATATATATGCCAGATTTATAGATGCTGGGGATATAAAGTCAGAAATGAAACAGTTCCTCCCTTCAAGGAGCTTAACCCTGTTTGCCTCAGTTTCCTCATCTGTAAAATGAGCTGGGGAAAGAAATGGCAAACCACTTCTGTATGTCTTCCAAGAAAACCCCAGATGGGGTCATGGAGAGTTGGACATGACTGAAAAAAAAAAACACAACTCAAGGAGCTTATATTCTCAAGGATGAGACGCTTTGTACCTATGCAATTCTTTATAAAATATAGACATGACGAACATGTGGTAGTTTTAGGAGGGAGGTCACTGGCAGCTGGTGGGGATCAGGAGAGGCTTTATGTAGAAGGCAATTACTGAATTACTTCTGAAGTAAGAGACGAATTCTAAGAGGCAGAGGTCAGGAGACAGAGCATTCAAAGCATGAGTGGAGGATTAACTCATGAGTTACAAAGTCACGGAGGTGGGAAATGGAGCAAGTAGGAAAGTATGGCTGGGACATAGAATATGGGGAGGGGAGTAATGTGTAGAAAGGCTGGAAAGGCAGAAAGATGACATGTGGCAGTGATACCGAGGAAAATCTGCCAGGAGAAGAGAAGTTGGACCTTCATTCTGATGGTTTGAGGAACAGGGAGGTTTGGGGCTAGGGGTATGTAACATAGCTTCAAGACCCTGGCAGTGGGTGAATAGCCATGGGTGGTTATGCCATATGGCTGTGTGAGCCAACAGAGGACAGTTGTCCAGGAATTTGCTGGTAAATGTTTAACAATCAGCTCTCCAAAATAAAATAATAATGTCCAGAACAAACTTATAAGCTTAATTTGCTTTATGAACATTTTCTCCATAACTTTTTTTTAAAGTCTAAACAACCAGCAAAACAATAGATCAGACCCTGATTTGTAGACTTTGCCAATTTCTGAAGTATAATGCTCATGCTGAAAACTTAACAATATGCTCACCAGAATCAGTATGAGTTAGTTCCAGCTCCTGAAGTGCACCCTTCCAGTGGTCATCACAGTTGCCCCATTCTATTTATAACTCTGATTATCATTATCTGTTGCTTGTGTCTTAATCCCCTACTTCTAGACTATGACTCATTGTCTGAAGTTTGTCTCAGCACCTAGTTCAGCGAATATACATACATACATACATACATATATATATATATATATATATATGGGACTTAATAAATTTTTTTTTGAGAGGGGGCAGCTAAATGGTGCAGTGGATAGAGCGGTGGGCCTGAAATCAGTAGGACCTGATTTCAAATCTGGCTTCAGATACTTACTAGCTGTGTGAACCTAGGCAAGTCACTGAATCTTAGTTTCCTCATCTGTAAAGGGACGATAATAATAGAACTTCACTCCAAGGGTTGTTATGAGTTTTAAATGAGATAATATTTGTAAAGCACTTAGCACAGTGCCTGGCACATAGTACATGCTATATATAAATGTTAACTGTTATTATTATTTGGGCAGCTAAGTGACAGAGTAGATAGAGCATTGGGCCTAGAGTCAAGAAGACTCATCTTCCTGAGTTCAAATCTAACCTCAGACACTTAGTAACTGTGTAACCCTGAGCAAGTCACTTCACCCTATTTTCCTCAGTTTCTCCATCTGTCAAATGAGCTGGAGAAGGAAATGGCAAACTGCTCCAGTATCTCTGCCAAGAAAACCCCAAAAATGGGGTCATGAAGAGTCAATTGAATAGCAACAGCCATTACAAGAAATAACAACAAATTTTAATTGAACTGAATGATGGAAGAGTCAGGAGACCTGAATTCTCTCCCTTCCTCTTCCACTTCCTGGCTATGGGATCTTGGGCAAGGTATTTCCCCTATCTTTACATCAATTTCTTCAACAGTAAAATAAGGGAGTTGGGCTAGATGATCTCTAAGGATTTTGCCAGCTATGATATTCTGTGTTCTAGGGTATTCTAGGTGTTAGTTCTAACCTGTGTTTTAAGGCCTGTCCAAGCTTTGACATTCTAGGTTCAAGCTCTGACATTCTATGAGTCCAGTAATGGGTCCCATGTCAACTCTGAGGTCTGCCATTTTTTCCTAGACTAAATCTCCAAAGCAATTCCACTTTCGAGAGAAAACCCAAGGCCCATGTGTCACCCAATACGTGATGTATCATAGATCAGTACCGGTCACTGAGGCACAGAGTGTGCAGTGACTGCCAGGGTCTCCTTATGGGAACGTGGCTCCAGGAGCCAAGTTCAAGGTTGGCATGAGGAATAGTAGCCCTCAGGAACCTTGGACCAGAAACTCACTCTTAACCCCCTCAAGCATCTTAGCATCTCCATGTCCCTCCTTCTGTTTCTCCTCAAATAGCTTGTAGCAGGTGCTGGGGCTGGCCAGGAGGAGCCTGAATCCCTAGAAGAAGGAGACATTCAGGTCAGGAGATGGTACTTCACAATAGATGCTCCTCCTTACCTCCAGGCTGAAGGAATCTTAGAGTTCTTCTGGTGACCCTCTAGTGACTAACCTCTGTTCCATTTTATAGATGAGAAGACTGAATCCCTGAGAAGTTCACTGACTTACTCAAGGTCATACAGTAAGTGGCAGAATCCAGTCCAGCCCTCATTCTCCTGAGCCATATTGCTTCTCGTTCGGGAATAAAATTGTACTATGGCTCAAGGAAACTGAGGTCTGCCTTGGAGGAACCGCTCACAAGGTAGAGGCCAGGCATTGAGTGGGGGATAGGGGAACTCTGAAAATGAGATAATAACTCACTTTTCTCCAGAGTTTTCAGGTTGACAAATTATATTCCTTGAACCACCGGGGATGGGGTGGGTCAGAGAGAGAGCTTGAGTATCATTAACCTTATTTTCCAGATCAGGGAATTTGGGGTCAGAATGTTGACGTGATTTGCCCAAGGTCACACAGTCAACCAGGGTCAGACAGTTTGGGCCCACATTTCTTAACTCCAAGGCCAGAACATTCTGTGACTCCTGGCAGGTCCCCCCCCCCCAACCCCTCTCCTCCCCCACCCCAGGGCTGTACCTTCCCATCTGGGGCTGGGACAAAGCTGAGGAATTCATCCACGTGCCCGACAGACAACCAATCAGAGAAGAGTTTCACAGGTGCTTGGACCTTCTGGGAGAAAAGGAAGTCCTGGAGTACTTTAACCATCTCTCTGCTTTCTTCCCTGGAAACCACAGAAGTCAAGTGAGTATACAAGAGAAGATTCAGGTGGGCACCATTGTGGAAAAGAGTAAAGCTAAGGACCAGAGAGGTGCCTGGTATCAATTACTCAGAAAAATGGAAACAGAGGATCTTGGAGGTCATCTAGTTAAACCCTCTGCCTGATCTGGGACAATGAAACAAACAGCCAACTTCTTCTTGACTACCTGCGATGACCAGGGGCTCACTATATATAGAATTCAGAGTGAATTGGAGGTGAAAAGGGCCTTAGAACATAGGATGTCAGAGCTGGGAGGGCTCTTAGAACACAGGATGTGAGAGCTGGGAGGAGCCTTAGAACACAGAATGTCAGATCTGAGAGGAGCCTTAGAACACAGAGTATCAGAGCTAGGAGTGGCCTTAGAACACAGGATGTCAAAAGTGGTAGGGCTGTTAGAACAAAGAGTGTCAGAGCTGGAAGAGAACATTAGAACACAGAATGTCAGAGTTGGGGCATGGAACCTTAGAACATAGAATTTTAGACCTTGAATGGCTCTTCCATTGTAGAATGGCAATTCAGAGGAATATTAGAACAGAGAATTTTAGAGCTGAAAGAATCCTAGGTACCAAATGTTAAAGCTGGAAAGGAGAGTGTTTCTGTGTCTGTTTGTATGGGAGGAGAAGGGTAGGGGGATGGGGTCAAGCTGAAGACTCTTAACCTGCCAATTCCCACTCTAGCCATAGCCCTTTGCCTATCCCTGCACCCTCACCTGGGGTAGCTGCTGTTGCCCAGGAGGATCCTGCCCAGAGGGTACTTTTTGTCTCCGACTGTGACAGGCGGGCTGACCTCCAGGTTGCCAAAGGAGTCCAGGCCAGTGATCAAATCTTTATTTTCCTCTCTCGTCACATAACCAAAATCTGGGCCCTGAGAGGTGGGAGAGTGAGAGGAAGTGAAGTTACACCAAACTCACTTATTTCACAACTAGGTCACATTGTTGACTCACACTGAGCATGCAGTCCACTAAGAGCACCAGATCATTTTCATACAAACTATTGTTTAAGCGGCATCCCTGCCATCCTTCCCTCTCATTCAGCAAGACCCTGGAAGCTGTTCATCTTACTGATTGCCTGCATTCCACACTCTTCCACTCGTATTCTCAGTGGCTCCCTATGGTGGTCTGGAAAGGGTCCAGAGATTTCAATGATTTAGGGACCTTCCAGAGGAGGAAGTCCCCTCTGCCAGCACAGGTCAGCACCCTCTACAAAACTTATGGTCTTTGATTAGACCAGCGGTGGGGAACCCGCAGCCTCGAGGCCACATGTGGCCCTTTAGGTCTTCAAGTTTAGCTCTTTGACTGAATCCAAACTTCACAGAACAAATCCCCTTAATAAAAGGCCACTAAAAGTCACTAAACTATCTACAGAGTGGCAGTGCAAGATTAAATGACCTCCCCAGCATCATGAAGTCAGTATGTTTCAAAGGTAGGACTTGAACCCGGGTCTTTCTTGCTCTTTTTTTTCAGGACTGGTAGCTCTCTGCCCCACTGTCTGCTCTAGAGATGCCTTCTCCTCCTGCCTGGTACTCCCCACCCAGCCCTTTCTCTAAAGTCCCCGTATCTGGAATTTTCCATGCCAAAGAATTCCATTTCCTATACACTTTGTCGATTGGTGCCTGATCGCCTAAGACCTGGGGTGGGAAGCCAATGAGGTCCACCCGAGGGAGTCGCCCCCTTCTCCCTACAAAAGGCTCAGCCCCCTTCTCCATCAGGGAGGGTATCTGCTCTGTGAGCAGCCCAGGTGTCCAGCCTGGGCCTGGAAGAGTGATGGAGAGACTGAAAAGAGTCGGGTACCACAAGAGGAGAGTGCCCTTCACCTGGATCACTGGTCCGTTCTTCCTCCTGTGGGAGCTGTACATCATTGCCCCCAAGACTGGGAACTGTATATCCTGGCCCCCTTGTCCTTCTGGTGACAGCACTCCAGTGCCTAGCATGGGTTCTGGTACGTCCCACTGTAGATGCTCCATAAATGCTTATTGATTGACTGATGGTCAGTGTATCCTTGTCCCTCCTTGTTCCACCCCCCCCATCCTCTTTCTTCCCTGGGGGTCAAAGGTTATGTTCTTCCTCTGGGTGTGGTAAAATGCCCCAGTGATTTTTTTTTAATTATTTGTCTTCAGTATTTTTAGCTGATTTGTTTCTTTTATGGAAACCTCTCGATCCTCTAGCCTTCCCCTCCTAAATAGCTGTGGTAGATCAAGACATTCCTCCAGCAAGCCAGCTGCCAAGGGTTAGGCTGTAGGATTTGTCTCTTCAGAAAGGATTCCCCGCGCCACCCCCCCCCACCCCTGCCCCAGGCCTCTGGAGAGGTTGGAGGCTCAGCTGTGATAGAATGATCCTGGCAGGGTGCGCCAGAATGAATCACATCTGGGCACCTTCCCTCCTGTCCCTCCGGGCCCCAGCAAATGGAGGGAGATTAATGGCACAATTTTGTCGTCACTACAAAAAATGACCCATTGGAGAGCTGGGGATCTCACTCCTGGACAGGAACAGGTCTGTGCAATGCTATAAGCCACTCTGGTGGAAGGGGGCCTGGATCTCCTCCTGGCTGGGCTCCTGACTGGTTCTGTAGGCAGACAGACGACAGACCTGCCTTCTATCCCCCCAGGACCATTGGGATGAGTACATAATGAGCTAGGATTAGGAAGGTGCTGGGAAAAATAGAGAACTATGGACATGCCAAGGATTATTGTGGCAATAATAGGAAAAGCATTAGTAATGATGATGATAACAATAATAATAATAACAACCTCATCATGGTGTGGAACTGATCCTGGGTTCTGGAAGGTTATGCCAAGGAGCCCACACTCCAGCAGAGCCTAACTAGCAACAAAATCTTTGGAGCTAATAATGTGTCCCCCTCAAAGGCTGCCTTGAATTTACCCTGTATGTTTCTCATATAGACCTATATACATCATTATACATAAGATATATAAGATATAACATGTAGGATATGTACTACAAATCCTATGTATGGCATAATATGCACCCTATATATGTATTATAGAATTTGCCCTGTATGTATAATATATGAAATAGATAACATGTGATACACATAAGTGTCTGACATATAATACATGATATACATCAGATGTGAGATATAATATTATATGACAAATACTATTATACAATAAATCATATTGGATTGATTGGTTGACTATGCATGCCACCCCAGGACCATCCTCCTTCAGTGTAGAGGGGCTCATGACCAGGACATTGGCCACCATTTTTCCACCCTGGCAATAGGAATGGCTCCTATCCCTGCACCTCTCCCAGGTTTCCAAGAGCAACTTGTCCCCTTTTTTTGTGGTGTGTTAGTGTGTGCACACATTACCTTTTTTAAGAACTCACCACAACCTCAGGAGGTAGATGCTATTATTATCCCCATTTTACAGATGAAGGAAATGAGGCTCAGAGAGGTTAACTGACTTGCCCAAATAATCAGCAAGTGATGGAGGCAAGTTTTGAACTCAGATTTTTCAGATGCCAAGGCCAGTATTCTAGTTACTATATAATGCTGACCTTTTAGGTAATACAAGTGTTGATATCCCCATTTTACAAAAGAGGAAAGTGAGACTTAGATGGAGTGACTTTCTGACACAGATAGCAAGCAGTGGAGGTGGGATCTGAACCTAGGTCTTCACAGAACTCTGGTCATTATGCCACGATGCCTCTCTAAAATAGCATGACTATTGGTATGACCATTTTACAGATGAGGAACTGAGGCACAGAAGTGTTCAGTGGCTTGCCCAGCATCACATAGCTAGTAAATGGCAGAATTTGAAAACAGGTTCCTTGATTCTAGGACTTCTGACTCCACTCCACCAAACTGCAGTTTGTGAAACTTGGAGTGATTGTTATCTTTTTTTTTTTTTTGGCTAGGTAATGGGGTTAAGTGACTTGCCCAGGGTCACACAGCTAGTAAGTGTTATGTGTCTGAGGCTGGATTTGAACTCAGGTCCTCCTGAATCTGGGGCTAGTGCTCTATCCACTGCAACACCTAGCTGCCCCGGAGTGATTGTTATCTTCATCAATGAATGTGGGGTACACACTGATGAAATCAAAGATCTTTCAAAGGAAAAATTGTCAGTAGACCTTCACCTATGGGGATCTGAGATCTCTGTAGCCATTCTCTACTGGGAATGTAATAACTTTCCATTTTTGTAGCCCTTTAAGGTTTATGTGTCTTTTCCTATAAAAAGAGAGGAAGGTCATGTGTCAAAATTATGCCCATTTTACTGATGAGGACACTGAGTCTTGGAGAAGCTAATAATCCCACTTAAGATCAAAGTTAGCTAGTAAGTTTCAGAGATGGGATACAAGCCTAGGTCTCTTGACTCCAAATTCATCCATCCATCCACCCATTATTCACTTATCCATCTATCCATTCAACAAAGACCATAAGCTTTTCCCCTTAAATCACTTTACCTCTAGACACTCAAATAGGAGTAGACCCATAGAAGAAAGTCTCTACTCACAACCTAATTAACTAATCAGTAGGTGGTCAGGAAGACTCTTCTTCCTGAGTTCAAATATGACCTCAGACACTTACTAGCTGGGTGACCCTGAGCAAATCACTTAACGCTGTTTGCCTCCGTTTCCTCATCTGTAAAATGAGCTGGAGAAGGAAATGGGAAACCACTCCAGTATCTCTGCCAAGAAAACCCCAAACGGGATCGCAAAGAGTTGGACACATCTAAAAAATGACCAAACAACAACAAAACATACCAGAACAGTTTTGATAGGGAAATCTTTCAGTCCTCTGTTACGGGGTGAGTCAAAGACAACAGGAAATATCTTGTGAGGGGCTTGGATGTAACCAAACTCTATTTCATCCTGTTAGGAGCAGAAGAAAAATTGACATAAATTCAAGAGTTGCCCTTTGGTAGTGACAATCACATCATGTACCCAACCCCACAATACTGCAGAGAGGACAATTGTTTTCAGATTTCCTTGGCTGTGGGAGTCACACTAAGCACCCTCACTTTCTTACTGATCCCTGTTTGGGCTTACACCTGAGAGAAATCACGCCATTGGTACAGGTGTCGTCTCTACCTGACCATAGACTAGCTAACGTCACCTGCATCCATATGTCATCCTGGTTTTCTTCTTCAGGACAGATGATCAGCTTGCATTTGGCCTTCTTGGCCAGAGCAGTCACAGATTCCACAAAGTTCTCATTATCATAAGTCCTGGAAAGAGCAAGGAAGAATTGCTCATCCCAAGGGGCTTTGGGAACTGGGCACAACAGTGTCTTGAATTAGAGCGTCCCTTCAATGCCACTAGGAGTCTAGGGGCCTCGGGGTGAGGAATGCCATCTTAAAGGCAAATACACTCCATGGTAGAGCAGGGAAGGACAGGCGGCATCCCATAGATTCCCATCCCAAGACTTGTCCTAGAATAGCTCAAATCAGTCAGTCCTGGTGTGTCCTCAGCAAACCTGAGGAGGAGGAAGGAGGCAGAGGTCTGGTCCAACCTTGGCATATGGAACCTTGGAACATAGAAAATCAGATCTGAGAGGGACCTCAGAAGATACACTGTCAGAGCTGGAAGGGACCTTAGAACAAAGGGATTTTAAAATACAGAATATCAGAGCTGGGAGGTATTTCAGAATATTGATAGCCAGAACCTTAGAACATGGAAAGTCAGAACAAGAAATAGCCTGAGAACACTGAATGTCAGAGTTGGCAGGGCTTGTATGCTAGAGCAACAAGGAAGCATAGAATATCAGGGCTGAAAGGGGCTTTGGGACATAGAATGTCAGAACTAGAGATGACCTTACAATATAAACTGTTAGAACTGGCAGGGGATTTGAGACAGAATCTCAGAGCTGGAAGGGACCTTTAAACATAAGATGTTAGAATTAGAAATACCAGAGATGAGTCGGGGCAGGTAGGTGGCACAGGGGATAGAGCACCAGCCCTGGAGTCAGGAGGACCTGAATTCAAATCTGGCCTCAGACACTTGCTAGCTGTGACCCTGGGCAAGTCACTTTACTCCGTGTGTGTGTGTGTGTGTGTGTGTGTGTGTGTGTGTGTGTGTGTGTGTGTGTGTATGAAATACCAGAGATGGAAGAGCCCTTAGAACACAAAATATCAGGGATGAGGTTCTTAGAATCCATTTATTCCAATCCCCTTATGTTACAGATAAGGAAACTGAGGCTGGAAGAAGGGGAAAGGACCTGCTCAGGGTCACACTGAGGAAAAATGGCAGATTTAGGTCTAAAACCCAGATTATCTGACTTTGAATCCTTTGTTCTTTCTAGTTAAGCTTCTGGGTGGTCCAGTGGATAGACAAATCCTGCATCAGACTCTTACCAGCTGTGTGACTCTGAGCAAACCCTTCTGTGACTCAGTTTCCTCATCTGTAAAATGGAGATAATAACAGCATCTATCTCGCAGGGTTATTGTGAGGATCAGGTGAGATGATATTTGCTAATTGCTTTTCAAACCTTAAATTCTTACCTAAATGTTATTATTGTTATTTCAATTATTTCTGCTACACATATCTGCCTCCTCCTATATCATACTTCCAAGAGGAGACATCGCTATTGACCGTACCATGAGAAGACCCTGTTATTTATCTCAGTATACGTCAGAAAGGGGGCAAAGAGAGAAGTTCAAAGAATACAAGACTAGATTTGTCCCCTCTCTCTACAACTAGGAGAGTTGACCATAGCTTCCTGCTGTCTCTGAGAAACGGTATCCAGGGCTGACAAGGATCTTCAGATTTGGGGTCACAGCACCTCGTGGTTACAATCCTGGTTCTACTACCACGACTTCAGTTTCCTTCTCTGCAAAATGAATGCATTGGATTGCATGGTCTCCAATACCCCTTTTGTCTCTGCCATTGGATGTTCTGAGGGTCCAGCATAGAGTGGTGGAAAAAGAGCACTAGGTTTGGAATCAAAGGGCCTGAGTTCAAACTCCAGGTTTGCAATTTCCCTCTGGGACCTTGGGCAAGTCATTTTCTACTCTGGACCTCATATTCTGTAAAATGAGGGGGGTTGGACCAGATGACCTTTAAGATTCCTCATGGTTCTAAATCTATGATTCTTTGGTGCCTTCCAGCTCTGACATTCTAGGTCCTAAAGTCTTTCCCTACTCTAACATTCTATGTTCTAGCATCTCTTGCAGTTATGACAGTCTCTGTTCTAAGTCCCTTCCCAGCTCTGACATTCTCTACTCTGAGGTCCTTCCCAACTCCAACATTCTATGTTCTAAGGTCCCTCTCACCCCTTACGTTCTATATTCTAAGGTCCCTCTCACTTCTTACGTTCTGTATTCTAAGGTCCTTCTCACCTCTTACTTTCTATGTTCTAAAGTCCCTCTCATCCCTTACATTTGCTGTTCTAGGGGCTCTCCCAGCTTTAATTTTCTATATTTTAATAGTCTATGTTCAAAGGTCCCTTCTAATGTTTAAACTTGAAATATAATAGCATCTTCTTCAGCCTGTATCCTGTATCCTTTTCTCACTCCCTTTCTCCTTACCTCCCTTTCCTCTCCTCAGTGGCACAAGATTGGAGCTGTGGGCTTTAATCTGTCTCTCTTTGGGTTGAAAGTTATTGAAGGGGCAGGGTAATTATCATTATGACAGTCTCTTATTTGGGACCCTGAGTGAAGGGAAGAGTTACCTTGAAAAGCTTTGAGCAGTGAGGACAGTGATCACAACAGCCCTCCACAGTCTGGGGTATGCTCCCTCCCTAACCCCCAGGCAGGGCAGCATCTCTCTCACCTGCATACATATACCTCTTGGGGGGCCTGAGTGTTTGGAGTCATGATCCAGGGAGCCACACGGAACACCACAGTGTCCTGGAAAAGCAGAGCCTCTGGGACTGGCTGGGAGAGGGAAAAGGAAAAGACATGGATGGCTCCTTGCCACCAGCACACCAGCACACCAGCACACCAGTGACTGAGGTCACTCAGAGCCTTCCTTCATTTGATACATTCATTTAATTGCTACTAGCACAAGCACTATGCTGGGCACTAAGGGAGATATAAAGCTTAGTTGTGGCATGATCCCAGCTTTCTTGGAGCTCACAGTCTTAGGGAGATGAGGCATAAACACAGGTAACTATAAGGCACAATTTTGCCTGAAAATTGAATTAGGGACATAGAAAATAAAGTCTGAGGGAGAACTGGGAGAACTTCCTATTACAGACAAGGAGATCATAGAGGGCTTCTTGGGGGAGGCAGCAGTCTGGGCTTTAGAGGATAGGTAGAAATTCAGCAGGTAAAGAACGTGAGTAGTGGCATTTGTCATGGGATCAGCTTGAGCAAAGAAAAGCACAGAGGTGAGAGAGTATAGGACATGTTGAGGGGAGAGATGTATAGAATATATAAGTAAGTGTAACATATATATATATATATATATATATGGGGCAGCTAGATGGCATAGTGGATGGAGCACCAAGGCCTGGAGTCAGGAAGACCTGAGTTCAAATCTAGCCTCAGATACTAACTAGCAGTGTGACCCTGGGTAAGTCGCTTCACCCTGTTGGCCTCAGTTTTCTCACATGTAAAATGAACTAGAGAAGGAAATGGCAAGCCACTCGAGTATCTCTGCCAAGAAAACCCTAAATAGGGTCACTAGTCGTATGTAATTGAAACAATTGAACAAGAAGTATATATAAATAAGTATATTTAAGTAAGACTGCAAAAGTCTTCAAACCTGAATGCAAGACAAAGGAATCTGAATCTGTTTGGTGGGCAATTGGGATCCATTGAAGTTTTTTTGATTTTTTTTTTTTTAGCAGAAGAATATCATCAGTAGATTTGTTCATAAGAAAAGCTATTCCAGCAGCAGTAGAAAGCATGAAGAGAGAATAAAGCCCTGGAGTCTTGGTGGGTGTCGAAGCACCTCCCCACTGCCCCACAGTGTCAAAGTTCCCAGCCTATTGAGCTGGGGTCTACCCCCGAGGTCATTCCTAGGTCATACCAGATTAGAGATGCCCATCAAAGAGACAGTGAAGGAAACGAGCCCTGAGAAGTCAACATCGGGGAAGGCAAGTCCTTCTACGAAAAAGGTGTTCTCTTGGGGGCCGTCAAGCACCTTTAGGACGTGAGATGGCATCTTTGGCCCCAGGATCATCTTATATTTGGATAGCAGTTTCTTCTCTAGAAGAGAAAGGGACAGATGAAAGGTTTGAGTTCTGTGTGCTCTTACAACAGCAAGAAGGCAGGGCATCTGAGCTGTGAGGGCAGGTAGACAGCGGCTGATGACAATATCCCTAATGTGGGTCCTAGCTCCTCTCCTACTCTGAGCTTGTCTGTAAGTAGCTCATAAAGGCAGAGAAAGTGTAGGTTTCTGGGCTAGGGATTCTTAAATTGACTCTTATTCAGGTGTGTGCTGGAAAATGTTTAACAACTGAGTCTCAAGGGGAAACAATGCACTTTAATATGTTATTAAAATAATTATATACATGCATTATTAACGTATTTCTCCATCGCTTTCTTAAGCCTAGATAATGAACAAAATAATAAATCAAGCCCTGATTTGTAGCATTTGCCAATTTCCATGGTATAAACGCTCACACTGAAATTTTAATAATTGGTTCTTAGGTGCCACTTTGAGTTGGCCTCTAGCACACCACTGCCCTCATTATACTACAGAGCTAAGTGTGTTAACTTTAGGGGGCACATGAGAGCCAGGTGACACCCCTTATATATAGGTAAGTAAAACCTGGTGGATTTCCCTATTGCCTCTCTGATCCTATAGGTTCTGTGTGTCCTTGGGGAAAGTCTTATGCATTGGGCTGCTCTCTAAGCTGCCTGAGGTCTTAGGCAGAGAACATAGCAAAGGTTACACTCTAGGGACATCCAATTTAAAAGGCAAGCAATTATTTATCTAACTGAAGAGGACTCACAGTTACTCAGTGATTGATTACTATCCCTGCCCTAAATTAGAAGAGTGTGCCAGGATATTCTATTGATGCTGGTAATGGGTAGCGTAGGAGTGCTTGGAAGCTATCTCCTAGGTTGTTTGTGAAGAAGCAGAGAGAGGGATCATTTAATGACCTTGAGTGTTTGCAAGTGGCAGGACAATGAGCCATCTGGACACAAGCATGAGGGTGTGTGTGTGTGTGTATGACTGAGGTTCTATTTTAACTGCAGATCCCTGGGGAAATCTGAGGGTAGTTTTCTGATCCTAGGATGGGATGGGTTAGCCCTTTGGGCAAGCCTTCACTTAGGAAGCATGGGGTGGTTGAGAAGTAATGCAGTGGATGGATAAAGGCACCCTCAGCTTGCACCTAGACAAAGAGATTAGGGGCCCACTGAGTCTTGCTTCTGGTCTTCTTGGTTCATTAGCATTTGAGGGAGCAGTATTCCTCGGCCCTGGCAAATGTCAATAAGATGTGCACAGCTCTGAGTCCCTCTCCCACCAGACCCATCCAGGTGTGTCAGCAATTGATTTAAACTCCTAATTCAACTCAATTTGATTCAATTTAACAGAGATTTTAAGTGCCTTCTATATGTCTTGTACTATGCTAATGCAAAGAGAAAAGAGATCTCATGCCAGCACAGGTGGACATGGGGTCCAAGGGTAAAGCTCATGGATGAGCCATGTATCTGAGCCAGTGAAGTCAGGAAATGATGATTACATGTCACAAAGATAGTGACAGTTGAGTTGGCAAGACCTTCTAAGCAGACCTTCAGGTAGGTGTTGCAGTAGATAGAGCGCTGGGCTCAGAGGCAGGAAGACCTGAATTCAAATTCTGTCTCAGACACTTAGAAGACATGTGACACTAGGCAAGTTCCTTTACCTCTCTGGGCCTCAGTTTTCTCATCTGAAAAATGAGGGAATTAGATTTGATGGCCTTCAAGGTCACTTCTACCTCTTAATCTATGACCCTGTGATCCCTTTTCTACTTTCAATTTTAAGTAATTCTTCCTTCCTGCAAACATGGATTTCTCCCCAAGAAACACTAAGGAAGCGGGCCAACTATCATTGTAGGGGAGTTTATTTACAAGGCAGAAGTCACTTAAATTATGGGCAGAGGTACAAGTACAAGATCTTTTTTCCTACTGGCAGGTCAAACGTCCCAAGTTTTGGGACTCTGATTCAGTGATTGTGATAGAGGATTAAAAAATGCTCCATTTATCTATCTACCTGTCTGTCTATCGGTCTGTTTGTCTGTCTGTCTATCTAATCTTTCTTTCTATCCATCCATCCATCCATCCATCCATCCATCCATCCAATCATCTGTCTATCCATCCATCCATCCATCTATCCATCCATCTTTCTATTCCTCAATTCACCTATAGATCCCTCTATCTATCTATCTATCTATCTATCTATCTATCTATCTATCTATCTATCTATCTATCTATC